CCCGGAGAGGAGGCGGCCTCCTCCGCCCCGCCCCCTGGGCAGCGGTGGGCTCCGCTGCTGCTGGCCTGGGGTTCGCTTTCTTTAAAATCCTCAAAAAGAAAAACAGGTCCCGCCCTCGCCGGCCTCTGGGTCTAGTGGGCAATTTCCTAGCTTCTTTCCGCTTTCTGGAACCCCAACTGCGAACTCCCCTAGAAAGGACCCTTCTGAGGGTGACTGGAGGGGCCCCAGCCAGGGTCGCACTTGACTCCAACCTAGAACTTTCCCTTCGGACTTTTCATGCCAGAAGTTCACGTAAATATCACACTGTTTTATGCATGGAAAGTTAGCAGGCAGGCAGACGGAGAAGGCCATTCCTGCCTGTAACCTCCATGGGGAGGTGAGCTTTACTTCAGCTTGTAGTTAAGGATCTCAAGACTTGTTTATAACGTGAAGGAGAGGCTGGGTGCCGGAACCCAGAGGTCAAATGGAATATAAAGCTGTCGCATGGGTTTTTTAAAAAAGTTAACCTTTCGGAACCTAGGTTTTCTTATCTCCAGAATGGAGATGTTGATACCGATATATACTTTAGAGAGTTACAGTGAAGATGAAGACGAAATGAGATACTCCATGGAAAGCATTTAACACAGTGCCTAGTGCCTGCTAAATTATTAGAAAAGGTTCGCTGCTGCTGTTCTGCAGCTGTGATTTACCCAAGGTTATAAAGTCAGTAGATAACCAAGCTGGATCCAAGACCCAAGTTCAGTGATTTTTGTTTTAATTCCACCACAGCCTCGGCAAGCCTTTTTACCTTTAAAATCGTCAAGATCACATTTACTAAAAGATTGAGCCACATAGCAGGTCTTTAGTTTCTGCTATGGAATCTCTAAGTGTTCTGAAGTGCCCTGATAGCACCTAGCGTCCTCCAAGGTCAGAGCGGAGCACCTCTCTGAGGGAGATCTGAGGGACAGGAGCAACTTGTTCTAGGGTGAAGCAGGTTCCTTGACTGACCAAGGGGACTATTAGGTCTTCAGGCCTTAATGATATGTGAACTTGTTTGGTACCTAGGGATGTGAATGTAGTTCTTCATTCTTTCAACAAATATTTATTGAGCTCCTACTGTGTATGAGGCATTGTCCTTGGTGCTGGAGATATAGCATCGAATAAAAAGTTCCTGTCCTCATGGGGCTTATGTTCCAGGGAAGGAAAATGAACAATAAACAGACTATGCATTTAAAACCTGTAAAATCAGGTAGTTTTTTTTTTAACCAGTTGTACTTGTGGATTTATACAGGGTCTCTAAAAAATTTTAAACCTTAAAATAATTATTGGAGAAACCCAAAATGCCTTTTTGCTGTAAACATCACTTAAAGATAAAATCATTGCATTTTTGTTTTAGCACGACCGCTGCATGTATGCCGCATTTAGATCCCTGGTGCTGTGATAAATGAGAAAGGACCACCACAGGTGAAGGAATGGAATTGCTTGTCTTGGAAAGAAAACGAGCTGCTTATTATCAGAAAGATTGTTTTCATCATCCCTGAAACCTAAAGGATTGATTAAAATTTGAAATGTAATCACTCCATAAAGAGTTTTTATGCAGCTCCCACGTAACCCTTCTCAGTTCATGGGTGCAGTAGTTCTTGGAACATTTTCAAGATAGAGTGGCAAGAACTCAAGATTTGAAGACAAGAAGATTTTGCTCCTAGATTTATGCCTGCTACTTAATTGCCTTCCTGGGCCTCAGTTTCCTCATTTGTAAAATGTGATCAGTCCCAGTCCCTATTGTGAGAATCAAATGAAGCTGCATCAAATAAGACTTAAAAGTGTTTATAGTAATGCTATTTTTTTTAAGCCAACAAATGACAATATAAGTATTTCAACACCCACTAGTCTGCCTAAATAAAGTTTTGTTAATATGCTGAGAAGGATTCAAGATGCTAAGCACTTGAGATACTTAGAGATACAAATTCCCAGGAGGACTTTGGAAAACACTTATAAATTGTTCATTTGATGACTCAGAATTTGAAGTGTTCTGATTTTCAAAGCTGATGTCTCAAATTCTTGTAAGAGTTTTCCTTTAATGTCTCTAAGTAGAGGTCCAATTAGTGTATATGTCAAAGCAAATGCTATCTTTTTCTCCCGTGGCAATCGCCATGTAATTTAGGAATTCTTTCCCCAAAATGCCTTTTTGATAACTATTTTTACTCCAAGCTTTGAAATTAGGCCTTCCTAAAATCTTGCACAGGAACATGGGGTCTTTACCACACTCTTCCCTGAGCTGTGGCATGAGGTCTCTGCCCATTCCAGAGGAATTTCTAGCTGTGTTTCTTTGGATAGAAAAGATCTATGGCAGTTAAAAGAGGACATTATGATCATTAACTCATGAATTTCCTATTCTACCAAATAGAACTAATGTCAGTTGCTTCATGTTAATTTAAGGGTTTGGAGCGTTTTCTAAGATATATGCAGGTTACTCAAATCCCACCCTCCACCATGTCATCATAAATCCACTCCTTACCTTCTCAGAATTCTTGTCCTCATAGTGGCTCAGAGACATTTGGGTGAGCAGTGCCCCTCATTTCTCCTTATAGGGGGCCAAGATGGGTCGCCGAGCTCAACAGGAGTCAGCTCAAGCTAAGAATCACTTCAATGGCAAGAATTCTTCAACTCTGATTGGAGAGGTAGGTGTTAAACATCTGAAGAAATGCTCTCTTAACAGTTAGTGATTACTTATGAGCAAAGGTTTGGTATTCCATATTTCTCTTTAATGCTAGCTCTTCTTCCTGTCTTAATCTGGGAATTCCCTTCCGTGGCATTTGTCTTATTAATTAGAAATGAAAAAGAAACATTTTACCTTTGATGGCAGAGTAGTTTCTGTGTGTTGCTTGATATTCTCAGTGAATGACTTCCTTAAATTAGCCGAAGCAGGGGACTAGGAAGTTTCAAAATCCAGTCGAAATCCAGGTTTTTATTTCTGCTGAATAAATGCCAGTGAGGCATGCTGGTGACGTAAGGTTAGATTACACAACTGGACATGAGCTGTCAGTGGTAGCCTGCACTCTCTACAGTTTTCAGGCAGGAAGGGGATTAATAGTGGCCTTACTTTCCTGGAAACTTTTCCTCCAAGTGGCCTGGAATTATGGGAATTTATCCAGCTTCTTTTTGGAGGGTGGGTAATCGTGATGAGCAATACTTTTAATACCAGGGCACTATTTTTGGCAGTTTTCTCAGCCTCTTTTCACCTTTCTCTATTCCTTTGAAAAAACTTTGCCCTTTTTAAGAGTCAGCTTCAGGGTAACCCCCTCTGTTAGCTCTTCCTAACTTCTCCAGGCTGACGTGGGGCTCCTTCCTCTCAGTTCCCACAGTACCTATTATAGAACATCTCACATTATATGTTAATTTTCATTTTATGTGTCTGTCTGCCCCATAAGACAGTTCTCAGACAGCAGGAAACCTGGCTTCTCAATTGTCTAGCCCGTGGGCCCATAGTAGGTTTACAACAAGATGAGGGGATCTCACCAAGAAGCCTCACGGGCCAGGTGGGTACATGAGCACAGCATGCTGGGCACAAGACACAGATATACTTTACTTACATATCATGTATAGCAGCGGTCCTCAACCTTTTTGGTATCAGGGAACAGCGCCCCTGTGAGAATCTAATGCCTGATGATCTGAGGTGGAGCTGAGGCGGCGATGCTAGCACTGGGGAGCGGCTGCAAATACAAATGAAGCTTTGCTAGCCCCCTGGCTGTTCACCTCCTGCTGTGCAGCCCGGTTCCTAAAAGGCCATGGAGCGGTACTGGTCTGCAGCCTGGGGGTTGGGGACCCCTGATATATAGGATTACTTTTCACTTTTACAGGAAATAAGTTCTCTTTCACTTCTTGAGTTCCCCACATAGCCCTATCAATTTATCTTTCATTTTCTCACTTATTGTAGAACTGTGGGTACAGAGAATAATTCCTCTAAGATAACAGTCATGCCGGCACAGAAAAGCTGGCAGTCGTCCCATGGCCTCATTCTCTGAACACAGTAGCAGGGGGGATTGTGGGTACTGGAGTCCACATGTCCTTTCTAAAGAGGTAACCACTACCTAGTCAGAGCTGACTGATGCTGTGAGGGAATACAGGCCTGGTATTGCCAGAACTTCTGACTTTCCAAGAGATGCTGGCAGTCTAAAATTTTATGTGAAAGCAACACATATTTAGAGGTTAGCAACTGATTATAAAATTTAAGTTGCCCTATGGGCTAGATTAGGCCTGGGGGTTGTTAATATGTGACTTTGGTGATAGCACCTCCATTCTAGTGCTTATTACATTGTATGTCATGGTTTACATGTCTGGCTCTCTCATAAGTTGTGAGCTTCTGGAAGGCAGGGGTTGTGGCTTACCATTGTACCCCTTTGTTTATCACCCCTTTGTGCCTGGCAACGAACAGGCATGCAATTGACACTGCAAAGGATGAGGAGGTGAAGTACTTAGTGTGTGATGGGGGCTCTTAGAAGCTGAGTGAGACCATTACAGGGTGAGGGGTGGGCAGATAGTGGAACATTGGAGGCACAGTTATGGGGCATGTTAGTGTAACGTAGGGAGACAGTGAAAGAAGATGTACCAGCCCCAACTCTGGTCTCAGGGAGCTTGAACTACAGTAGTGTATGTCTTTGAAGAGAAAATGGGCAAGCAGATGACTGGGTTAATGGAAATCTGTTCTGGCCTTGGGTCACTTTAGGCTTTGGATCCAGGAGGATACATCCCAACACCATATCATTTATTCATTATTCAGCAAATATTTATTGATGCTTACTCTATGTCCGGCATCATTTTAGGGGTTGGCATATTTCAGTGAACAAAAGAGACAAGATCCCATGCCATAATGGAACTTATATTGTGCTCATTGGCCGTCAGAAAGACTAACTACAAGTCTACTTAATTGTGAAGGAGGTTATAGCCACCTATAGTGGTTAGGTCAGTGAATCTGTGATGGGCCAGGATGTCCTGGAATGCTCTGATGGCCTTGAAGCCCTATGTTGCACCACACCAAATCCTAGGCTGGGTTCAGTAGGCACTGTTCACTTACCCATCCCCTTTTCCTTGGCTCCCAGGCAGGAGTCAGTTTTGTGAGTGCATAACTCCAAAGTCACAGACTGTGACAAACCTTTCAGGATTTCAGCCTTTCTGGAATACCTACTTATTTCCTCAGAGACATTTACCTTTTTTAAAACTCGGCATTAGCATTTTTCTAGGAGAACATGATGAAAAGTCATTCTTTTCTTCACCCAACTGGTGCATCTGACAGCGAAATGCCAGTTAGAATTCCAGGATTACATCTCTCCCTGGGTTAATTGAGGTTTAAAACAGTGTAGGCAGCCTCCCTCGGGGCCAGATGCTCACTGTGCTGTGTGGGACTTTTTGGCCGTTTATTTCTAAAATTAGATCCCAAGATTTGTGTGTGTGCCCATTTACATTCCGAGTGTATGACTTGATATATTTATTTTTGTCCATTCGCTGACTATATTCTAGGATGAAGCTATTCATGAAAATGTAAATATGGTACCTGAGGGCTGTCAGACATACTGGAGTTACTCTAGAGTTAGGTAGGAATTAGTTCAAACAAATGATTATTTTAAAGCAAGATGGAGGAGTTGGGACCTCTGGTGAAGGAAACAGAGAAGGAAACCGGTCAGCTGGAACAGAGAGAATACAGGATTTGGCACCAGAAGACCAGGGCTTATGATGGCTCTGTTAATTAATTGCCTGGATCTTGAACTAGTCCTCTAATCTCTCTAATCCTCCATTTCATTATCTGTCAAATGGTGGTAACAATACTACCGGGTTAAAGTAGGGATTAAGTGAAATATGCCCTCTAAAGCACTTTAATAAACCGAAAAGGGCAGCACAAACATTTATTCATTCAGTAAATTAGTGAATAAATGAGTATTTGGACAGTGCTTTGCTGTTTTTATTAAAGGGGACAGCAAAGAAGGAGGACGTAAGCTTGGGTGTCTTTTAGAACAATTTGGAAGGCTCTTCAAGGGCTGCTTGCTACTCATTTATTCACAGGTTGACCACTAGGAATCCGAAGCAGTTTTTGTGCTTTCTGGGTGCAGCGGGCATTCCCTATAAGAGTGGGTGAGCATAGGCCTTGGGGTCATACAGGCCTGAGTTGAAACCCTGGCTCTGCCACACATTAGTTCTGTGACTCTGTGGTTAATAAGAAATGGATAATAATATTACATACTTCATAGAGTGACTAGAAAGAAAAAATGTGATAATAGATGTAAAGCTTTTAACACAGACTGACACGTAAGTACCC